GTAACAGGAGGAAGCATGTTCTCCTGTTTTATATGGCCAACTGCACAGGGAAACGGGAAGAACCTAGTGTCTCTGATATCACATCGGGTCGTTATTCCTCCAGTTCCTGTCCGCGTGTCAACGTATTTCACAGAATTGTGCGTGCCAAAAACGCGCCCGATTTTATTTCACGAAAAGGCAAGGGTTATGATTCTAAGAGTGCATGGTATCGCGGCGACTTCGCCTATGCCGGACTGTCCAGGAGTGCACCATGAAATATACTGCACGAAATGAAATTTTCTCATTTTTTACATTTTGATAAAAGCGGATATCTCCATCTATCAGACATCACCATCCAAATGAAATCTGGATATCATCACCATATGTTCTGAAGCTATAGTCATTCTTTATCCGAAAGAGCGCAAGGCGGATACTTGAGATCATGAGGATAAAAGAAACAATAACCATAAGTCTCATGGTGTATATCGAAATGGGCAAGAAAAGGACAAACATTCCGCATTAATAAGCTTCCTTAAGGCTTCCTCAGTATGAGTTTAAGAAGAGATTTTTCAAACCAGCAAAATTCTAAGCCACGTGTTTTTAAAGTCCAGAACGATCTTCAAAATCAATCTCACCGGAAAAACAGACTCAAAATCTTGCGTACTGGCAAAAATGAGGCAGTGCTAAAAAGTACCGAATCAATGGTCTTTCATCCCTACAAACCAGACCGGAACACATTCGTTCCATCGTGGCAGGTTGTCCCACCAACATCGTACCAGTATCCACTCTTTATGCTACATTCGTCCTGGAAGCCATTTGCATTTAGGGCATTCATCACACACCATCTGTCATTGTTCGTATTTTGCTTCTGTAGCGTAGGTAAACGTTGTTGAGAGCCGAAAATTTTCCAATGAGACTTTGCTGGATGTTGAAAACCGCGGTTGAGAGTTTTGTCCACTTGTAAGGTGCTTTTATGTTAAAAAACTGCCCTAAGGAAAACAACCGTAAAGTTGAAAAGCTTATCCCGTTTAAAGCCCCTTTTGATATACGCCATGATGCTTATGAGTAGCGCTCCTTTTGAGAGCATTCCCTATTGCACTATTTTTACCGTGCACACTGCATATTTATAGCCACAACAGATGCAGACAAGAAGAAAGTAATGCTACTTTTCAGGTGAATGCTTTGTTCGGATAACTACGCAGTAACTCTACCATGTTTGCTAGTGGCGTTGCACTGCAACTGCGGACATGCATAGGAGCAGTATCAGAGCTCACTGTTGTAACTAAACCTTGACAAAATTATGGCAGCATGGAGAGAAAAAGTCAGAGAGCATCAAAATTGTCACCAAAGGGATTTTTTGCCGATCGTCGATGGGACGGACATGATGAAATGCATGTGTCATGAACAGGCCACCCGCTTCTAGAAGTGAGCATCATCCACCGAACGTGGGACCGTCGTGACCGCAAAACTTCAGGGTGCTTATGTATCCGTGGGTAAATACCGTTATTCATTAGCTCCTTGGCATCGAAGCTTTTTTAAATGCCAATGCTGTCGGTGTTGAGCTGCTTTTGTTGTCTTGCTTTCACTCTGCCAGTGTTTATGGTAAATCCGTATTCATAGATACATGGTTGCATACCTGTCAAAAATAACTGATTTGGTATATTGAGGCCCAAGAAATTTGTTGTAGCACAATATATTAAAGCTTTCGAAAGCGTTTGGAGCTGTGTTTTCTGCTGCCTGCAATAATACGTTTACGGCGTTTGACGAATTTTATCAAAATGTAACAGATAATCTTACGTCATTATTTTCTTTGAGTGTCATTATTGTTAGGAAAACACGTTCAATGACCATTATGAATCCGATTGTTATGTTTTTCTAATAAAGAGGCATTGTTGATTTTACAACATTTTCTCAGAATGAATGAACCTGACAGACTGTGCCATAATTTGATACACACGAGTTAAGGCAGCAGTTCACGCAACAGTCGGAGATGCTCCTTCACAACTGGTTATTTAGTAAGGGTCACGACGACCAGAAAATACAGGGATGTTCTGTGCGAGCGATGCAACTTCGAGCGTGAAATCAATGACTTGCACGATAACCACGCAAGTGGATGGGGCCCCTCCTAGCCAGATGGTTAGACCAGACCTGCTGTCGAACTTACCTGTGATGCAACCTCACCAGATTCATCGATCCGCATACATCAATCTGTACTGGAGCCCCGTCTCTGATATGGGCAGGGGCTTGGTAAACGAGTCCGCGGAATGCAAGGTGGGGTCAATACTGAGCTATCCTGCCAGCATGCCTGACCAACAAACATGTCTGCAGTCGGAGATGCCAACTGAGATCTCTCGGAGCACCTTTAAAAATGATTGCCGAATGTCCAGTGTCAGGACTCGGAGCCCTCTTAGGACGATCGAATCACATCGGCCAGGTCATCGAGTCACGACAACCAGGACCTCGAGTCACGACAACCAGGACATCGAGTCACGACAACCAGGACCTCGAGTCACGACGACTAGGGCATCAAATCACGGCGACCAGAACATCGAATCACGACGACCAGGACATCGAGTTACGACGACCAGGACATCGAGTCACGACGACCAGGACATCGAGTCACGACGACCAGGACATCGAGTCACGACGACCAGAACATCGAATATGACGACTAGGATATCAAGTCACGACGACCAGGACATCGAGTCATGACGACTAGGATATCGAATCACGCTCGGATACGTTGGTAATCCCGCTTCTGGTTGCACAGGACGGGCTTCACACTATTTTTACTTAGTAGGTCACTTACAGAGCTTTAAATAACCTTCTAGTAATAACGTGTGCATTCAGAAAAGGCACTGCAAGGAGTTACTAAATCTGTGCATGAAAGGGATTAATCATCTACATGTTGTCGACCATGCTGGATCATGCACGATGCGTGGATCATAGTAAGGTTTATGACAGCGTATCGTAAAATGTGTAACAGCTATGACTACACTCATATACGTTTGTAAACACGCTTCTACGCATTTTGCGTCAGACAAGTAACATATATTACAGTTCAGTTTCTCATCACGGCTCTTAGCACGATGTGAACATATTTATAAGGCCCATTGCGTAATGCCAGCAAGCATACGTAACAATGACACCCGATCAGACATGTGTGTTGTTTACCAGGGCACGTGGTCACCCGTATATCGACGGGAATCGGGCATTCCGGTCGGTGACGGCACTTTGCGTCTTGAAGGTGGAACGACTCCGTGCGACCGCCGGTCTGGCGGCTCCCTTTGATCCACGCCCTCGGCCGCAGCCGCGGTGACGTCACCGCTATTCTTACAGGTGTTAAGAGCGGCTCATTCCTCGCGCGAATAAATCCGTCGATCCTTGGGTGGCTCAGATGTGCACCATAATCGCGACACGAATTTTGACGAGCCATCTCAGTAAGACAATTCCAGTTAGTCCAACACTTTGCAAGGCGTGTTTGTCTGCCTAAGACGCCGATATACTCGGCCAGATTGTTGGGAAATTTAGCTCGTAAGTTAACTGGATTGCGAGATGGGTATATTTTTGCCCTTGTTGCAAGAATGGGTGCGACAAGCAAGTGTGAGGTGTTACGGAACAGCGTTTTCACCTCAATCGCTGGCTTAAGGGAATCATTCACGAGTAAAAACATGAAGCTGCAGGACTCAGACCGGACAAACGTAAATCCTCTAGCCTGGCTCTGGATTGTCCGGTATGTATCGACACCGGCTGGCATTCGAGGTTCCTGATATAGTTGGCTTACATACTGAGTATTTTCCCCAGACTAGCACGGATGTTTATCCCAAATTGTCGCGATCGTCACGTTTGCTGCCCTCTACCTACACCTTATGATACAACGCAGTCAAATGCAGCGACAACCGGAACAAACCCAAACCCAGAGGCGGAAAGTGTGTCTTACACAGACCTCGATTGGAGGATCGGCTAGCCTAACAACGGCCAGATCACACATTACCCTGCGTGGAGATGCGCTTACTTACCGACACCGCTCGGCGACAAGAGGCTTCTAAACCACGACGCGAGATCGCTGCTGGTGACGCGGCTCCCGGCGCCGCATGTGCACAGCAGCAGGTCACGTGCACAGCAGCATGTCACGTGCACGCCAGCAGGTCACGTGCACGCCAGCAAGTCATGTGCACGCCAGCAGGTCACGTGCACAGCGGCAGGTCAGGCCCGCCGACTTCGCCGACCTCGCCCAACCGGCTGCCGTTCCCTGCGCAGGATTGATGCCGGGTGAGCTCAGACAGGGGTGTATATTTAGGTTTCCGGTCATCTGCTGCTGAGTGCCGGGCACGCCGGCGAGCCTGGCCTTTGGCACGCACCTGCTGCGTGCAGCTGGGTGTCAATCTTGGCAGAAGGGAAACATTGTTATGACCGGTGTTGAAAGCGTTCAGGACGCTGGGTGAAGGAAGATCACCCACATCTTGGACCACTAATGAAAGTAGAGCAGTTAGCATGCTAGATGACGCAGGTGATTCACCACGTACATATGTCGACAGCACTGAGGAGACTGAAATAAAGTTAACGAAATATTTGCCAAGACCTCTGATTTGTAGTGATTAGACGCTAGCATAACAACCCGCCTTGAGGAGCATGTGCATGTTGCATGTGCTGAGTATGTGCATGGAGCCTGAGCATGCTGCTTGAGTGGAGCTGTCTGACAATGTCCGCGTCTCAATACTCTGCAGATGCTCGCGGTGTCTTGTTGGCATTCATTATTTGTGTATTTCTAGCTAAAAACGGTGTTGATGAGATTGGACAAAACAAAAATCACTTTTGAAGCAGATAGATGCATCGGTATTCTCTGCATCTCTATCCTCAAGATTCATGCTTTGTTTTTACATGGCTAATAACATCTTCGTTATTGATTAATCTCGCTAGAAACTGCCGCCAGTTGTCTTCCTGGGAATAGGTCTGATGCAAGACCGATGTTTCCATAGCAACACGAAACACTCTTGCTGCCAGATCTGTCCAAATTCGGGTTTGGCGTTTGGCTTATTTCACCAACTTAATGTTGCAACGAACCGAAACAGATACCTAAGCAAAGAAATTATAACTTACATCGTAGAAATACTGGATGCATGGATATCATGAACTAATTTTGTTTCTGGTTTGCACACTACGAGCGAAGGTAAAACATACGTGTGTATTGTATTTTATCGCTTGTTGAGCCATTGGCCATGCTGGACTGTTTTTGGCTGTTTAAGCGTATGGTACATGGCTTCGGCTATATGCGTCATCTTTGTCCGTAAATAACACATATGTATACACAATCTATCACTTAAGGAACTGCAGCCTCAGACATGCACTGCATCCACGTTTCGAAATGCATGGTTCTCAGTTAATGTCATTGAAACATTTGTCCTTGTTTTATTTTTTCCTGATGTATAACTTGACCATAGCATATGCTTTGACATCAGATACCATTTAATACGGCAGACTACTCTTCAAAGCGACGATGCCGAACGACAAAACCCCCAAAATATTTCTCATGATCCGTCGAAAGAAGATCACTGTCATTTTGGATGCAAAATCGGATACAACTTGCCTTGATATCAAGAGGTTTCTTGAGACTATGTTGAAGGTCCCACCGGATAACCAAAGGCTCCTCTACAACGAAGTCATCTTAGAAGATGCCGACACTCTAGAATCCGTCGGCATAACTCCATCCTTAGCCCCCATGCACAGGTTTGTGTGAAAAACCTGGGTTTATGACAAACAGCAAATGTACAGGCTAAAGGCACATAATAAATCAAGAAGCCATCTGTATAATTTTTCGTCCCAAATGAGTTCATTTAGCCTTATGAAAATGTGAATATGAAAAGAACCCAAGCTCAGAGGCGGAAGGCACCAATCTTTGACTTATACTCATAACCGATTGCCGTGAAGCCCTTATACCTTATCTGTCATGTGAACTATTTCTGCATAAATGTGCAAGGTCCTCATTACTGTGTTCGCATGCGGAGACTATATCCTTACAAGTTGTGCCTTCCATTCTAGACTAGCTCTCAAAAATGTCTCAGGCAACCGGAACGCTTAAAATCTAGCTTACATCACAGCGAGGCACTCGTGGTCTCCGGGGCGGAGGATCGCGGCTCACCAGCGTCTTTGCTCGCGCAGGCCCGTTACCCTGATCCTGGTCATGAGCCAGGAGGACGGGGAGTTTGAGGCGCCCGAAGTCTCGCCGTTCACGCCGCTAGATTCTGCAGACAAGACCACCGCACCCAGCAGTCCGGCTTCCACGCTGTCCTAGTCGACCGCGGGGCACGGCGCCGATGGCGACGAGCAGACAGCGGTACTTCATTGGCCACTAGGTTGCTCACTGACCGGCAAAGTATAGCAGGCCATAGCAGGCGAAAACTTTTGCGTGGTGTGGTTCAGTGACAGCAGTGGTGTCTTGGGCGTGGACGTCAGGCCCATGGATGGTTGAAGCATTCCACGGCTTCCTTCCTCTCTAATATAATGTTAATTGCTTGACTCGGCCGCGATTAGGGAAGACAATTCGCCGTGTCATTGAAGAAAATGCTATCAGTGCGATTTTTCGCAACTAGTTCTCAGTGTTAACACAGGAACTACAGAGTAATCTGAGCCGGAAGGCAGATGCAAGCTTCCAAATCACTACCATGACGTTTGGAATTCGAAGCTGGAGTGCGGCCACAACCTGTTAAAATCCATTTCACTGACTGCGTCGCATTGTTATGCCAAACAAGGACCACCGAATGTTAAATTCCATCTTCGAACTTATCGCTCTGGCGCACGAAATGAAACTGAACGTGGTGAGAAGAGAATACGTTTTCTGTTCATGTCATGCATGACACATAATTTAATGACATGTTTTTGCTAAAATTATGTCTCACTTCCACCATGGAGAGCTTACAAAGGGCATATTTCTACCCGTCGCAGTTCCTATCTAGTTTTTAGAGATACGTCGTTTACGGTTCAGCCGAAAAGACTGAGATAAGCTGAGCTGGAATGCCTAAGTTTAAGCCTTCAACATTTTCCACGAGCTTCATCCCTGTTTCCAAGTCTAAGAGCATTACTCCGGTTCTGTCCCGGTGGTCCAGTGATTAACGGTACCGGCTCTCCCAGAGGGAATCAAACAACCGCGGGTTTAAGACACAGCCCACCTGCGTTCGAATACCGCCAAAGACTTCTTCTATATTCCCCAGAAAATAGATGGAGACATATGCCGCAGAGAGCTGCGTGATATTCATAGCGCGCAGAAGCCGCTGCAGCGCCTGCTGGGCATCTGGCCGCTCGTTTGACGGACCAAGCAGGGCCATGGCCGTTGGCCGTCAGGCCTGAGGCCAGCCGTCAGAACTCGGCTAGCACTAGACCAAACGTGCCATCGGACTCGTAGCTAGCCGCCAGAACTCGGCTAGCTCTAGGCCAAGCGTGCCATCAGACTCGTAGCTAGCCGCCAGAACTCGGCTAGCTCTAGACCAAGCGTGCCATCAGACTGGTAGCTAGCCGCCAGAACTCGGCTAGCTCTAGACCAAGCGTGCCATCAGGCCCATAGCTAGCCGCCAGCATTCGGCTAGCTCTAGACCGAGCGTGTCACCAGGTTCATGGTCAGCTGCCAGTACGCGGCTAGCTCTAGACCAATCGTGCCATCAGACCCGTGGCTAGTCGCCAGCACTCGGCTAACTCTAGGCAGCACTTGTTGTCATGTGACATCGCCACCATCGTGATGTCGGTCCCAGTCGGGGGGGGGGGGGGGGGGATTATCGAGGGGATGAATAAAATAGATAGACACCTGTGGTCCTCACATCAGACCCGGCTGGACTCACATTACGGCCCGCTCCTGGATGAACGAAGGCAGAGGCACCGTCAGCTGGACGATTTGAAGCAGACAACGCAATAGCGATCGCTGTGATTTTTTAAAAAGCTTGATGAGATGAAGACCGGGTTAAAATCATGCACAAATAACAAAGGCGATTGACGATTGCTCTAACGTTGTCTGGCTTTTTATCACACTGGCTCGTCATCCCTTGCGCGGTTCGTGCGCCCATTCTGCGGGTAGCTGTGGGAAACGAATTGTTCACCTTCAGATATGGGCGCTGCCCCGAGCCACGCGAATCTGCCGCAGCTATTACTCCTAAACTTCTTTAGAATACGGACATGAGCATGCGCTTGGTGACGTTCAAAGAAGGCTTTCCGGCGCAGTCGGTGAACTCATACTATACTGGCTCTTGTGCGCCCATGAACCCCTCTCACTTTCGACAGAAGACCTCCTTGTTAGTAACGGTTCCGCTCGGTATGTCATCTTGGAGGGCGCTGCAGTCCGTCCGCAGTCTCAGTAGTCCGGAAATGCCCGCTCGTTTTGCTCTGCACCGTTCCTGAAACTCAGTGCTAGCTGAGTGGTCAGCAGTGCTCGATCACGTGGGCCTTCTGGCTATTGCCCGAGGGCTGGCAGTGATGTACCGCCGCAGACGCTTTGCTATTGGCCGCCGGTCACGCAGGTTAGCCATTCACTGGAAAAAGCGTGAGCGCTAGGCCCTGGGCTTGGTGCGTCAGGTTTGTGAGGCGATGGTAGAAGAAGATTCGGGCTGGCATAGCTTCATAGGTGTGGTGCGAGGCACATTAATGAGACGCGAGCCTGTCGAATGTTAGCCAGAAAACGCAATTAATCGGGGCTAGACGGCATCAAATATTAAAATGCGCGCGCTTATGCGTGCACGTGTATGCAATCGTGCATGTTGGTTCAAAAGAGTAGCTTTCCTTGATGCGTGCAGGTTGAAATTTAGGTAAATGTCTATCGAAATTTATTTCGAAGATTTTGAAATGTGTCTGCTGATATAAATGTGCTTATATTCACATGCATGCTCGAGGAGGGACTCAAGCGCTGTAGGGAAGTAAATTACAAGCCAACTCTCAGGGCACATTATCAAGGCCTGCAACTGGCAGCACAATCTCCCTTGATTAAGTATTCGAACTCAACGTACGCATGCTTTGCTTTGCTGTATGCCGTGGTGCTCAATATGTAAGGAATGAACACCAGGCGTCAACAGCGGAATGCGGTAGTCCTCGGCCAGCCAACCTTACTTGGCCAAGCACAGAAAAACCTGCTTACACAACTGGACAGCAACATATTCCTCCAAGGCGGCCAAGTTTAGGCTTGATTTTACCTGACGATGGAACGGAAGTGAGGGTAATGGGTTGAGATGCAATCACTTGCTCCCTGCGATATATTTTTCAGCATTCTGACAGCAGAACAGAAAGGGTGCGGGTGAAATCTGAAGTACCTGAGTTTTGCTTTTAGGGGCCGTCCACACATCACGTTACGCATAGAGCGGGAGGAGACCTCGATGGAACCGCACCGAAACATTACAAGGGATGAAGTGGGTATACCGTAGCGTTAGGCTCAGGTGTGGCTTCGTATCATGCTAAAGAATTGAGAATGTCTTATAACCTCACTGCCGGATATCGCTCACTCTTCCTCATGACGAGCAACGCGCCCGTCGTTGTTTAGCACCCCTTGCTCAATTAGGAGCTAAGTGGACCCCTTCCTTCTTGGGACGTAACGCCAAACGCAGCGTAGCTAGGGCAGGGTTGTTCGCCCTGCGCGGCTTTAAGTAAACGACGTGATGGAGGGTTAAACGTGACCGAAATGCTTAACGTAATTTATGGACGATCCTTTTTATGCTTGTCTTAGCGCCAAACACGGTCCATGGGTGAAGACACCGCAAATCCGCGGTGTCGTATAGCTTTTCGAGCATTGCAATGAGGCATGGACAGCTCTATCGAATTCAATTGTCCCAAAGAGAAAACATGTGTCTGGTCACTATGATTTTGGCGCAATGTCGGGAACTTGTTTCCCCCGATATTTGATGTCTGATCGGTCCTGTCCCAACTGGTCACGATGGTTTTGGAAGGTCAGCAATGTCGAGTTAACTCATTACGAGTATTTAAAAAACTTTTGAGAAGAATGCTGACGATGAGACACCAGCTCTTCATACCGGGTACGCGCCATGCCATAACAGGTCTGCCGCCCAAAGGTAAAACCCCATATGTTAATTTCCCGCCATTTTGCGCTTCTTGTGTCATCTGATTCATCTACTCACGCTGATTTTGGTATTAACAATCAGTTGAAATTTTCACAAACTTTTAGCCCATTTTGTAGCTAAAAGTTTGTGAGAATTTCAACTTTTGTTTGAGCATCCGAATGCGGCATGAGAAGATGAATCAAATGACATAAAAAACGCAAAATGACTAGAAATGAGCATATGGGATTTTACCTTTGGACGGCAGAGGTTGGCGACGAACGCAAGATTTGAAACCATTATCATACAGCACGATGCTGTGGCTGACGCCATTATTTCTTTGATGTGATAATATCACACACCTCGATAAACAACCACTAAAACACATCTAAAACAGAAAGTGACGCTTAAGGAGTGTTTTCAGACCTGCGTATCTGTGCGAGTACTTTATGGAGACGAATTGAGGCCAACCATGTTAGACCATTGAGCTTTAGCGAAAGTATTTTACCTGGTACCAACGGCCTACGGCCTAGGTTGCGGTACGGGACTAGCAAGCCTCGGAATGCAAGTGCCCGCTTGCATACATGTCGATGTTAATAACTCCGTAACCGATAACTGTGGCAATTTATGAAGCTTAGGTGAATAAGCTTTTTCGAAAACATTCTTGTGCTTTCCGGTAAGTAAGCATAGTCATGCACGCGGTGCTTGTTGTGCTGTGCTGTGTGCTGTGTTGTGCTGAATACATAATACAGAATCATCATACAGAATACATCGAATCGACAGCACTCGTTTACTGCATAACATCCTACAGGTAGATGTCATCCAACAGGTACATCATCCAACAGGTATCATCCAACAGGTACAAATTACTCCAGCCGCCGAGTGGAACAGCAAAATGGCCACAAGCCCTGAAGATAAGTGCAGCACTTTCCAGGGTCACGATTACAAGAGAGAGAGAGAGGAGGAAGGTGGGTGATTCGGGTTCCTTTTCGTGCGTTTTCGATTGTTTTCACGGTATTGAGTCATCTGTGCGGTGCCACGTTGTAAAACCTTCAAGCAAAAAATGCCTGCATGTGGTGCATGTCACTGTGCCGCACCGTAGTAGCTACCGCTTACACCAACCATTTGCCGGTGGGATTTTCGTTCTGCTCAAGGTGACTGCAAATGTGTCAGTCGCGCACAGTACTCGGCGTGGTGTAGTTGACACTCCTTCCGATGTTTTCTGCTGGCCATATGTCCATCAGACAAGGTCACCTCCGAACAGGGTAGCAGAAACTTTCTACAGGCAATATGTGCTTTCTCTGTCCCTGAAGTACGGCGAATCGCTTGATGATACAGACACTGCTTAACACGCAATGACAGAATGGAATGCAGGCCATGCTCAAGGTTTTGCGTGACAACATGCAACACTCGTAAACGTGAGCTCAAAGGTTCGCATAAGAGGCACTGGCACTTTAAAAGGCATTTGATTTTGAAATTAAGCGTTTACGTAAA